GGGGGAATGGATGAGGGTGCTGACAACACAGTGGATAGTGACAGGGATGGCAGAGTATGGAGCCTCTAGTGGGCGAGGAAGGCTGTCTATCTGACGAGTTTGTAATCATGCTCAGATGCCGAGGAGCTCAGAAGGTGGGCAACTGTGACCAGTGATAGTCATGTATATAGAGATTAGAAATGCATGTGAAAACGTCTCAATGTCAATTGCTTTGGAATGAATTCTTCTGTATGAAAAAAAAAATTAAAAAAATAATGATTAAAAAACAATAATTAGTAGATGTGAAAAACATTAAAAAAAAGAAAAAACATAGTGTTAAGTTTTAGGATTAAACAAAAAACGTAATGCTTAGGCACTTATAAACTAGTTGGGTTTTTACCATGGAGAGATAAGTACACAAAATCACCATTACAGATGCCTCTGATGATGCACTTTCTATTTAGGGATAACTAGAAATAATAACTAATAAGCAACGCCACAGGCTAGGGTAAAGATGAGTCAGTTCTATCTGCCACCACCAGATGGCACTCTCAAGCTGAAAGGAATCTTCAGAAAATTAACTCAATTTCCAACATTGACCCAATCAATAAAGCAGCTAATAACAAATACTATGACCAGAATTTCTCTCTAACAGAGAAATAACTGTATTGCATAACCTCAGTTACTGTTTTAGGATACACAGAACAAAATGAGTCACATTGTTAGGTATTCCCTTTCTGCAATGACCAAGCAGGTTAGCTAACTCAGCTAGGTCAGCTGGTGAGAGTAAGTCATAAATTTGCTCCTTCCACAGAGTAAGCGTCAGAACTATGGAAGACCAACAGCACACTTAGTGTAGAATACTGGGTTCTAAGTGCACACAAGAAACACTAAGCAAAGTCCAACCTCTTTAAACTTGGTTTTCTAATATGTCAATGGAGCAGCACAATGGCTTTACTTGAGACCTGAGTATAATTAATACTGAGTGTCAATAGAGTCAATAAGATTATTCCTCTACTTTCTGCATCTATCAATTTTTGTCTTTATTTTGAGAGAATTTAGTGGTTTAAAAATAAAAACAGCCCAGCATGATGGCACACAGCTTGCATCCCAGCACTCAGGAGGCAGAGGCAAGCAGATCTCTGTGAGATTGAAGCCAGCCTGGTCTATGTGCAATAAGTTCCAGGCCAGCTGGGGCAACAGGGAGACCCTGTCTCAAAAAGACATAAATAAATAAATAAATAAATAAATAAATAAATAAATAAATAAATAAATAAACAAATAGTAGTAAAGTCTTAAATTACCATTAGGAATTAAGCTCTGTGATTTTTCTAGTGTAGTGCCAGCTATACTGAGCCATTTATCATAGACATGTTTTTGGAGGATTTTCCTTTGGTTCTATCACATCCTTAAATATAAATAAATTCAGTAACATTGAAACAAAAGATTCACATTTCCTTAGACTCAGCATTTCTTACTTTTTCTTCTTTTTTATATCCAGTACTGGGGATTAAACATGGCCCTCAAACATCTTAGGCAAGTACTCTACCACTGATTAAAGTCCCAGCCTTTGACTTAGTAGTTCTTTTAATAATTCATCCCACAAATGCCTGTACCTAAAAACATGCTCAGAATGCTTACTTCACTACGTAGAATGGCAAGGAAGGAGGCAATCTGTGAGTGGCATACCCTGCTCTTATCCCCCAATATCGTTTCTTCCAGATACCCTTTAACAGCACGATGCCAAGTTTTAACCAAGGATGCAGCTAAATTTCCCACCATCTGAGCAGGCAGGAATGGCCATGCAATAACTATCTGGTGATGAAGACAGATGTCAGTGCTGGATGGCATAATAAAAGGAGCACTATATACTGTCTACACTGTCATTTCCACTTACTGTTGGCTTGCATACAACTGAAGTTGCAACAGCCATTCTGTACTCAGGGAGAGTCACATGGAGAAGAATCCAGCTACCACTGAACTCTTCCATGAAAGAACTAAATCTGTATTTTGTTTAAACCATTGTTTTGAGTTCTTTTCGCCTCAGAAGTTTAAACTGAACTCTAATACACAATCTGTGTCCACAAGTAAAGCAATCAATAAATAAATTATCGAAAATCTATACATTACCTGACCATTAAAAACAAAAGATAGAGTCAGGCATGGTGGGGCATGCCTTTAATCCCAGCACTTGGGAGGTAGAAGCAGGCAGACCTCTGAGTTTGAGGCCAACCTGGTCTACACAGTGAGTTCCAGGCCATCTGGGGCTAGAGGGAAATCCTGTCTCAAAAAGACCGCCCCTCCCCCTACAAAAAAAAAAAAAGGAAACATCTAACTCTCATTAAGAAGACAGGTTCTGGCCCCATGCAGCACATTAAAACTCCATAGGAAACTGTCTAAAAAGTACCTGTGGAGACCACACCCTAGCTTAACAAAATCTGAATCTGAATATTGTATGTGTCATCCCATCCTGTCACATCCCCTCACCCCCACCCCAGGAGCTTCTCATCCAAGATGCATGATGAACTCTAATATGCAGTCAAGACGGAGAACCACCAGACTCCAGATGGAGGAAAGCACTGCAGCAAGGCTGGGACACTTCACCTGACTCCTCCCAACTCCTCCTTCACCCCCTACATCTACCACATTTATTATTTGTCTGAGGAACTAGACAAGAAACAAAAGACTAGAGTCTGATTCCAAGGGGGTGGCCTCTCCACCCCCATTAGATCTGTGCTTTTAGGTTCAGTGATAATTAGCATGTGTGACTTGTCCAAGACCACTAAAAGATACTTAAATGTAAAGAAGCATTCTATCTGAATCCACTGTTCCTTCTAAGCCAGGTTAACACTTAGGAGATATAATTCTTCCTATGTCTAATTTTTCTCTAAGAACTCTGATGAATTTCTCAAGACACTGATTTAAGGGCTAAAGAGATGGCTCAGTCATTAAAAGCAGTGGCTTCTCTTGCAGAGGATCTGGGTTCGGCTCCCAGCACCCACACAGTGGTTAACAACTGTCAGTAACTCCAGTTCCACAGGATCCAATGCCCTCACGTGACCTCCACAGATACTGCACAACATGGGTACACCTACCTAACCTACATGCAAGAAATACACTCATACACATAAAAATAATAACATATATATTTTAAAAGGCAGTGATTTAAAGCTGCCACAAAAGGGCACCCAGACAGCAAGTGCTGCATGCTCACTCGTACACAAGGAGCCTCACTACAAAGGCCTTACAATGATTACAGATCAAATAAAAAAGGTTACTTTGCTATGGTTTCCTCTTACTTCCCACACTGTTTAATCCAGTATATACGATTACTTATTCAAACATCTTCCATCTGGCAATAGGTTAATCCAGAGATAAATGGCTTAGTACCTTACCTAGTTAACCAGCACACAAAACGTTTTTATTTTATTTTTGCTAAGTAATTAACAGCACTGCTGTTGAACTGAGAAATAGTTGTAGTAGTTTACTATACAGGGATCTAATGTACCAATGGCTGTGGTGATCACTTCCAAAGTATTAAACCATTAAAATCTCAACACAGCCAAGAATTTTAAAGTTGTAAAAAGTCAGTCCAACATAAAGGAAAATGCAATTATAAAATTCGTAGGAAAATGGTTGAAACTGAAAAACACTGTATTAAATGAGGCAACCCAGGAACAGGCAGACAAAAACCACACACCCTCTCTAATGTGTGGATCCTAGCTTCTAATTTTTAAGAATGTATTTTTAAGTGGGAATAAAGGTAGAGGTCTGGAAACTTTCTTAGGAAGGACACCATGAAACTGGAAAAAAGAGGCTTTGAGAAGGATGGGAAGGGCAACAGAATACATGTGATACAAAAGTCAAATGGGGAATACTAGGGGTGGAAGAGACCAGTAGGTACAAGAGGAGGGGCGGGAGGAGGGGAAGGAGGAGGTGTAGGGCTGGGGAGGTGGGGAGGGAATCAACCAACCAAATAATAGGAATGTATGAAAATATCATAAGGGAACCTATTATCCTGTAAGCTAATTTTTGAAAGAGAAGAGAGAGAGAGAGAGAAATTAATTCAAGTCAAGAACTTATATAAAGATGTGGAGCTAGCAAGTTGTGGTATGAAAAATGAACCACCAAACTAGACTCCAGTCATCACTGCTGCTATGTGCAGAGCCTACACGTAAAACACTGCATAAGGCTGAAGTACTAGTGTCTCGACAATGGGAGTCAAATTGAGAGAAAAAGAACTCTAAAGATAATGCATTTTAGCATTACCTCCTTCATGACAGACAATCTTTTCTCAAGGCTTGAAGTTTCTGGTTTCAGCTTCTTCCATTTTCTCTTCAAAGCCTTTTCTTGGAGTTCCCAGTGTACCAATGCTCTATTCTTTGACTTGTGTATTTCATGACGACGCACCTACATAGAAATAAAAAACTGTAAATAAGTTCTGTCACTATTAAGAACAATGCACTGTTTTTATAGCTCTGAAATGGCTTCATGTGGAAGTGAAGGAAAAGTTCCTAAGGCTGAAGAGATGTAAGCCAGGAGTCTCAAAGAGTTGGAAGGGTGTGACTGAGGAATAAAAGCAGATATATTTGGCTTTACAAACACTCAGGTATTCAGAATTATGAATATGAACAAAACTCGGGTCATTTAATGAAGTTTTTATCATGCAAACAAATCAAACTACTAAAAAGAATAACAATCAAATATTACATAAGAATTCTGATTGACAGAAACAACTGAAGTGGTATTTTTTTGAGACAACTGGAAAATGCTGGATATGGACTAGATGTCATCCAAACTGATTTTTACTTCTTTTGGGTAGGATAATGGCATTGTGGTTATTATGTTTTTCTTTATTTTTATTTTATCTGTATGAGTGTATTGCCTGCATGTTGTGCCAATGCCCACAGACATCAGAAAAGGATGTTGGATCCCCTGGAACTGGAGTTACAGATGGTTAACCACCTTGTGGGTGCTGGAAATCAAACCCAGGTCCTTAACAAGAACAGCCAGTGTTCTTAACTGCTGAGTCATCTCTCCAGTCCTGTTATGGATTTTTTTTGTTGTTTTGTTTTTTGAGACAGTCTCTCTGTAGCCCCAGTTGACCTACAATTAATTATGCAGACCAGGCTGGCCTGGATCTCAGACATCCCCCTGCCTCTGCTTCCCATATGCTGAGATTAAAGTGTGTACCACCACACCTGGCCTTTTTTTTTTTTTTTAATAGTCACTGAGTGTATGGACACACTGTTTTGATCTTTAGGCCATCTTTTAATGGGTCATTCGTTTTCTGGATTCTTTGAGTTCTTTATATATTCTGAATGTTAAACCTCTGTCGGATGTGTCACTGGTGAAGATTTTCTCCAACTCTGTGGGTTTTCTCTTCACTTCCTTGGTTGTTTCTTTCACTGTACAGAAGCTTCTTAATGAGGTCCCACTTGTTGATCTTAATTCGAGCAAACGATAACCGATTTAGAAAGTCCTTTCCTACACCTATAGCTTGTAGATTATTGCCAATGTTTTCTTCTAACAGTTTCAGAGTTTCAGGTTTCACATTGAGGTCTTTGATTCATTTGCAGTTGACTTTTGTGCAAGGTGAAAGTCAAGGTTCTAGTTTCATGCTTCTACAGGTAGAGATCCAGTTTTTCCAGCACCCGTTGCTGAACATGCTGTCTTTCCTCCAGTGAGTGTTCTTGACCCCTTTGTCAAATACCAGGTGGCTGAAATTGCATGTACCCATGTTTGAGTCCTCAATTGTGTTCTGTTGATCTACGGGTCTATTTTGTGCCAGTATCATGCCATTTTTATGACTACAACTCTGTAATACAGTTTGAAATCTGATATAGTAATCCTTCCAGCATTGCTCTTTATGCTCTGGTTTGCTTTAGTTATCCAGGGTCTTTTGTGGTTCCATATGAATCTTAGGATTTTTTTTTCAAATTCTGTGAAGAACATCATAGGGGTTTGGATTGGGATTGCATTGAATGTATATATTGCTTTTGGTTGGATGGTCATATTCACAATATTAATTCTTCCAATCCATGAGCGTGGGAGGTCCTTCCATCTTTTGGTGCCTTCCTCAAGCTCTTTCTTTAAAGACTTAAAATTTTCATTGTAGAGATCTTTAATGTGCTTTGTCAGGTTTATTCTGAGATATTTTATTTATGTGAGGCTATTGTAAATGGGTTTCCATATACTCTTTCTCTGATTGTTATTGATAGATAGAAAGGCTACTGATTTTTGTAGATTAATTTTATAACCTGCCACTTTACTGAAAGTGTTAAATCATTTCTAGGAGTTTTCAGTGAAATTTTTGACATTTTTTTTTTTAGGTATAGTACCATTATCATCTGTAAAAAGGGATAATTTGACCTCTTGTTTTCCTATTATTACTCCTTTAATTTCCTTCTCTTGTGTTATTGCTCTAGCAAGAGTTTCAGGTACTATATTAAAAAGGAGTGGAGATAGTGGACAGTCTTGTCTGGTTCCTGATTTTAATGGGAATTTTTCCAGTGTTTCTCATTTAGAATGACGTTAGCTGCGGGTTTGTTATATATAATTTTAATTATGTTGAGGTATGTTCCCTCCAGTCCAATTCCCTCTAGGACTTTGAACAGAAATGCATGTTGAATTTTGTCAAAGGCCTTCTCTGCATCTATTGAGATGACCATGTGGTTCTTGTCTTTGAGCCCATTTATATGATTTGTGACATTTATTGACTTCTGTGTATTGAAACATCCCTGCATCTCTAGAATAAATCCAATTTAATCATGGTGGGAGGTCTTTTTGACGTATATCTGTATGCAGTTTACAAGTATTTTGTTAAGAATTTTTGCATATATGTCCATTAAGGATACGGGGTCTATAACTCTCCTTTTTTGATTCTATCTTTACCTAGTTTGGGTATTAGAGTGATGGTGTCTTCATAGAAGGAATTTGGGAGTTCACCCTCTGTTTCTATCTTTTTTACTACTTTAAGTAGTATTGGTTGTAGATCTTCAAATGCCTGGTAGAATTCTGCTGTGAATCCATCCAGGCCTGGGTTTTTTAAGTTAGGAGGTTTTGTATTACTATTCCAGTATCTTTTTATGGGTCTGTTTAAGCTATTTAAGTTAGGAGGCTTTGTATTACTCTTTGTTTCTTTATATGGGTCTGTTTAAGCTAATGATCTCTTCCTGGTTTAGCTTTGGTGATTCCCAGGATTTTAGATATACATCCATTTCTTTTGTTTTCAATTTTAACATACTATAGGTTTTTAAAGTATTCCCTTATAATGTTCATGATCTTTTTGTTGTCTGTTGTAATGTTTCCCCTTTCATCTCTGATTTTGATTTGGAGTTGCTCTTTCTTTCTTTTGGTTAACTGGGCCAAGGATCTATCTTGTTTATCTTTTCAAAGAACCAGCTCTTGGATTCATTGGTTCTTCGTATTGTTTTCTTTGTTTCTATTTCATTAATTTCTGCTCTGATTTTTAATTCTTCTTGTGTGCTGGATCTCATCTGTTGTTGCCTTTCAAGAGTCTTGAGTTGCAATGTTAAATCATTTATTTGTGCTCTTTCTGACTTTTAATGTAGGCACTTAGAGCTATAAACTTACCTCTTAAGACTGCTTTTAAAGTGTCCCAGAGGTTTTGTTGTGTTATAATATCCTTTTCGTTTAATTCTAGGAATACTTTTATTTCATTCCTAATTTCTTCTTTAAACCACTCATCATTCAGGGGTATGTTGTTTAATCTCCATGAGTTCATGTAGTTACTAGGGCTTCTTTCAGTGTTGATTTTAAGCTTTATTGCATTTTGGTCTGATAGAATGCATGGAATTATTTCAATTGTTTTTGTATTTGTTGAGGTTTTGTATTTGTTGAGGTTTGCCCCAGTATGTGGTAGATTTTGGAGAATGTTCCATGGGGTGCTGAATAGAATGTATATTTTTTGGTGCTTGGGTGGAATATTCAGTATATGTCTGTTAGACCCATTTGATGTATGGTATTGTTTAGTTCAGATGTCTCTCTATTTATTCTTTGGCTGACTTGACTGATGGAGACAGTGGAGTATTGAAGTCCCCTACCATTGGTGAGTTGGGATTAATCTGTGTCTTAAAGTTCTGTACTATTGTTTTTATAAAGTTGGGTGCACCAGAGTTTGATGCATGTATGTTCATGATTGTACTATCTTCTTGGTCAATTGTTCCTTTGATCAGAATGAAGTGACCTCCTTATCCCTTCTGATTAGTTTTACTTTGAAGGCTATTTTGTCAGATTATACTTGCAATCCCTGCTTATTTCTTGGTGCCATTTTCTTGGAATATTTTTTTCCACCCTTTCGCCTTAAGGTAGTGCCTGTCATTGAAGGTGAGATGGGTTTTGTTTCTTTTTTTAAAATTTTTTAAAATTTTATGTGTAATCCATTCAACTAGTCTGTGTCTTTTGATTGGGAAGTCCAGTCCATTGATATTTAAAGTTACTATTGAAAAATGTGTATTGATTCCTGTCATTTTAATTTGTTTGCATTTTTGGTCTCTGTTTCCACAGTTAAACCTTCATTTAGTTTCTCTGTTATCCCTTGGGTATAGTTTTTCCTTTCTCTGCTCTTCGTATTGCTTCAAGAATTCTCAGGAGGGCTGGTTTTGTGGACATGAATTCTCTCAGCCTATTCATGTCATGGAAGATTTTTCTTTCCCCTTCAACTATAAGACATTTTTGCTGGGTAAAGTATTCTGGGTTGATATCTATGGTCATTTAGAACTAGGAATACTTTGGTCCAGGCCCTTCTGGCTTTCATAATTTGCATTGAAAAGTTAGTTACAATTCTGATGGTTTTCCTTTATATGTGACCTGTTGTTTTTCTTTTGTGGCTGCCAATATTCTCTCTTTGTGCTATACATTTAGTGTTTTTAGTTATATGCCATGGGGAGTTTCTTTTCTGGTCCTATTTGGTGTTCTGTGTGCTTCTGTATTTGTATGGGGATATCTTTCCTTAATTTTAGGAAATTTTCTTCTACAATCCTGTTGTAGACCTGGTCAATACCATTATCCTGAGATTCTTCTCCTTCCTCTATATTTATGATGTGTAAATTTGGTCTTTTCATGGTGTCCCACATTTCCTGCATGCTCCATTCCTGTATTTTAAAAAAGTTTTCATAATCTTTGCTTGAATGGTCCAATTCTTCAACTTTATCGTTCAGTCTTGATATTGTTTTCCATTTCATTCATTCTATTGTCTAAGCTTTTTCTTGTTGTTTCAAATTGGTTTATTGAGTTTTTCACTTCCTTATTCATTTCAGCCTGAGTTTTCTTCAATATTTCTATGGCTTTTATGAATTCAGACAGAAAGTTTATTCCTATCTTATTTTAGTTCTTTGATTTGTGTGTTCTTTAAATTCACTGAATTCTTTGATCATGTTTATGACTGTTCATTTAATTTCTGCATCCTGAGTTATCTCTAGAGGGTTCTCATTGTAGAACCCTTCTATAGGACTGGTAGTGTTTGGTGGGGACATATTATCTGGGTTTTTCTTTTTTTTTTTTCATTGTGATTTTGGCATTGGATTTCTTTTCTAGTTTGTGATTCTCGTGTGAAACTCAAGCCTTCCTTTGTTGAGCTGAAGTCTGCTTGTTTGTGTTCTTGATATGCCTTGGTTGGTCTTCTTGGGTATGAAAAGCTGATTGTTCTAGGCTTCAGGTTCTCTCTCTCTTTTTCTTTATTATGTGTTATTTTATGTCTATGCGTGTATTGCCTGCATGTAGGTAAGTGCACCCGTGATGTGCAATGCCTTCGGAGGACAGAACAGGCTGTCGGATCCCCTGGAACTGGAGTTACAGACAGTTGTTAGCTGCCATGTGGGTGCTGTGATTCAAACCTGGGTCTTTTGCAAGAACAACCAGTGTTCTTAATCATTGAGCCATCTCTCCAGCTCTCAGGTTCTCCCTTTTAATTAATTTTATATTGGAGGGACCAGATGGCTCTAGTCCAGCTAATCAAGCATTGCATCAGAGACCCAAGTCAGGTGCAAATCAGACACTCTCAGACTTCCTCCTAAGGTCTGGGCCCCTACTAGTCAGCAGGCACACACAGCACCATTTGGGAAGCTTGGTAGGAGTCCTGATTCAGGCATTCTCAGGCAGGCTGCAAAGCTCTGGGCCCCTGGTGAAGACCAGAGAAGCCTTGCCCTGTGGTAGTGGGAGGGCTGAAGATGGTCCCAATGTAGGGGGATGGTTGCGATTTGGAAAGCTCACCACCACCTGAGGCCAGATTTAGGCTCTCTCAGGCAGTCTGGAAAGGTCTGGGCAGACTAAAGGACAGAGCTGTCCAGGCCTGCGGCAGTGGGAAGAGTTGCAGATGGTCCCAATGTAGGGGTATGGGCACAGAACAAGGTAAGAGAGTAGTCTAGAGATCTGGGGTGCTAATAGCAAAAGTGGGCCTGTGCCTAAGACTAGAAGGGGAACAGGGTGTGGGGTTCACAGAAATTGAAGTTGCTCAGACTATAGGGGGATCAGGGCACAGTCAAATTAACTCTCAGTATTAAACTTACCAGATCTTCAGGAGTCGCCTGATGAACAGTTAGATCATTCACAGTATTCTTAAAAAAAAAAAAAAAAAAGATAAGCTCTCTTTTTTAAAGTTTCTTTATAAAAAATTAACAGTTATTGGGTTTTAATTGCTAAAAATTGATTCAAAATCCTGAGATTAAAAATTCTTTCTTTCCAGGAACCAATATTCTCAATATAAATGTTAACATAGATTCCTTTTATATAGCTTACAGAAAATAGCTGTTTTTAGGTGTCTTACAGGAAGTTAAGTACTCAATTATATCAAAACAAGGAAAAAATAGAGCAGTATACATTCAAAGTACATTTAACTAAAGATAAAAATTTCAAGTGGTTTTCCATGGAATTCCAGGCTTTCAGGAGGCAACTGTGAGGATTGCTAACAGAAAGTGCAGTCACTAGACAGGATGCTGAGGAGACTTCTTCTGAGGACACAGAGTCTACTTCATTAAAATTCCAATTTTTCAAAGGAACCTGAAGTTACAGCCCTTGGCATGTGTACCTTTTTTAAAAAGGAATGCAAGAGCCGGGTGTGGGGGCCCACGCCTTTAATCCCAGCACTCAGGAGGTAGAGGCAGGCAAGTTTCTGTGAGTTTGAAGGCAGTCTGGTCCACATAGTGAGTTCTAGCCCAGCTGGTACAGGGAGACACTGTCTTTTTTAAAAAAGGACAAAAAAGTAAAAAAGAACCCAAATACCCTGTTCTTCCCCGAGACCAAGGATATGCCCAGAAACTCACCGACCCTATCTCACACTGGCTCCAGACAGCACCTAAGCCAGGCGTGTGCTCCCCTAGCCCTGCCTGTTGTTTACCGCCTGGACTTACATCCCATTCTTGCTTCACTGAAGCTTTCTTCTTTTTCACTTTCAGAGTTTTCCTTCCGCCTCCCCGGGGACTGAAACGACTCACTCTGATCAGTGACATCTAGGAATATCAACAAAGAAATGATCATACAGCATGGCGGGGGGACAACATCAAAGAACCAAAATCATAACAATCAAAACATCACAAGAATCTAACACAATGAAAGAAACAGGCTATCAAAATACTGGTTTTCTCATTGTACAATTAATAATAAATTGAATTGACACCAATAACCATAATAAAAAAGCTTTTAAGTAACACATTTTGGGTTTAATAAAGAACTCGAGAAATGCAGAGATTACGACCTAAAATAGAGAAAATGGTTATACTTTTTGTCAGCAGACACAAAACTCACAATTAGCAGAGAAAATGCCAGTAACATGCTAATATGAATATAAAAGGACAGAAAGCAATAGCAAAAAAACACCTAACCACATGGCTGCCCCAAATCACTATTGCATGCATGCTCACTTGAATGGAGTCTACACTTTTTATTTTATTTTTTTGGTCTTTTTGAGACAGGGTCTCCCTGTAGCCCCAGCTGTCCTGGAACTCACTATGTAGACCAGGCTGGCCTTGAACTCACAGAGATCTGCCTGCCTCTGCCTCCCAAGTGCTGGGATTAAAGGCATGCACCACTACACCTGGCTAGAAAGGAGTCTACACTTTATTTTTTAAAGATTTTATTTTTATTTTATGTGTATGAGTGCATTGCCTGCATGAATGTAAGTGAACCCATGTAATGTAATGCCCATGGAGGTCAGAAGAAGGCACTGGATCCCCTGGAACTGGAGTTAGGGATAGCTGTTAGCCACCATGTGGGTGCTGGAAACCAAACCCAGGTCCTCTACAAGGGTAGCCAGTGCTCTTAGCCACTGAGCCATCTCTCCAGCCCCAGGAGTATACATTTTAGAGACCCTAAAGGTCTCAAAGCACTTCTAATGAATCTTCACATAACATTAGAGGTGGCTTTTATAAATTACTAGCATGCTCAAAATCAGCAAGTGCTCTGACCCACATGGCGCCATCTCACTAGTGCACATTTGTCAATTCTTGGTATTATTACCTATTCGTTTTATTTATTACTCTCATTTGTCTTTTTGAGACAGGGTCTCCCTGTAGCTCCAGCTGGTCTAGAACTTGATATGTAGACCAGGCTGGCCTCAAACTCAGAGATTTGCCTACCTCTCTACTATTTTTTTCAAAGCAGTTTTTTTTAATGTTTTTATTGAATTTTTGTGTATTTTATAAAGAATATCTCAAACAATCTTAATCATCTTTATAATCCCATCCCCACCAGCACACTCCCACAGCCCCCCCCACCTGAAACCCATATACTTGGTCATCCATATTAAAGCTCAATGTGTCAAGTTCCCCTAGTTAGCCTATCTAGAGTCTCTTGTTTTAGGAAGATCAGCACTTCCTCACCCAACAGTAATCAGCTGCCAATGTTTCCTTAGCTAAGACTGGGGTCTGCTGTTCATTTCCCCAGTACTATGCTTGGTTTTTGTCTTCTTGAGTTTGCAAGGGACTTTGTATGCTGACGCCACTGTCATAGAATCATATGAGCAGGGTCCCAGAAGCGTGTAGGGCTGTGTTTCCATATAGTTGTACACCTCCTCCCTGGCTCTTACAATCTTTCCACCCTCCCTCTTCCACTTTGGTCCCTGAGGCCTGGGTAGGTGAAGTTTAATATAGGAGTCCTGCCCATGGACCAGAAATCTGCAGACCCTTAATCTCTACATTTTGGCCATTTGTGACCTTTTGTGTCCCTGTCCCTCTGTTGCATGAGGGATCTTCATTAATGAGAATTGATTCATTAGTGTCGTCTTCATGAGCTCTTTTCTATGTTCTGTGTGCCTTAGGTGTAGAGGTTACATTGTAGATGTGTCACTTAGGTCTGGGCAATTCATAGACAATGTCTATGTGCGTCCAGCTGGGTCTATGTGTACTTGGTAATAGTCTCTGACTGGTGCAAAATAAGCTTCTTTGATGAGTAGTGACTGGAATATTTGTCTGTAAACACAAGGATATTTTTGCACATAGCAAGATATTACATTAGTCTAGGGATCTGACAACCTGAGGCTTTTCTCTAAGACCTATGACCTCTCCAGCCATGTGTATTTAGTTATGTTTACAGTACCACACTTGAGTTTCCTCCCACTGAGTGGGCTTTTGAGCAATTAGGTAGCTGTTGATTGCCCCCAAGATAAAAGCGCCACTACCTCACCAATTTCATATGCTGTGCCAGCCACTGAGTTTTATACAGAAAGTCTATGCCTAAGCCTGGATCTTGATCCTTGTTTTCCTCTAGCAGTTTTGGGTTTTACATTAAAGTCTTTGATCCATTTTGAATTGACTTTTTTTTACCAGGAGAGAAAAAGGGATATGGTTTCAGTCTTCTACTTATGAACATACGGTTTTCCCAGAACCATCTGTCACCAACAATTAAGTTTTATGGCAGCGATGACGATGACAGCTGCAGCAGTGGTAATGAAGGCATCCACTAAGATATTCTAAGTGCTTGCTATCAGGTACAGTTCTAAGCTTGTCATACAGTTTCTCTGATGCAATAGCTCCATGAAGTAGCTGCTATTTTTATTCATTTTAGAGATGAGAAAACTAAGGGGAAAAGAGTTAAATAACTAAGAAGTTCACTAGTTAACAATAAATAGAGACATAAACAACATGGATATGGAATAGGTAAAAGTCCAAAATGAACTGCTGTGTTTCTGCATGGTTTACTTTCCAACAACAGAGCCAAATAAATTCAATGGTGAGAAGAATAATGTTTCCAATAAATGATTCTGCAGCATCACAATAATCATATGAAAAGGACTAAAGGTGGACTCCTGCCTCACATCATGTATAAAAATTAGCTTAAAATGAATCACATATTATTTTAGAGCCAAAACTACAAAACTCTTAGACGAAAACAAGTATAAATACTTGTAACTTTTGGGTTGCACAGTTTCTGGAGTACGGCACCAAAGCATAAGCAATCAAAGGGGAGGGGGATAAATTGGAGTTCAATAAAATTTTAAAAGTTTGTGCTCAAAGGCACAATCAGGGAAACAAGGACAACCAATACAGGACCAAAGGTATTCGCAAATAATTGACCTGATCAAGGGCTTGTATCCAGAATATATAAAGAATCCTTATAACTATTAAAAGAGCCTAATTTAAACATGGGCACAGAACTTGAATAGTCATCTCCAAATAAGATACTACAGATCATCAATGAGCACGGGAAAAGATGCTCACTAAAATTAGTCATTAAGGAAATGCCAGTCAAAACCACTCTAGGGTGACTGTAATAAAAAAGATAAATAATGACAAGAATATGGAGAAACTGAAATCTTCATATATTTATTTGTTGATGGGAATGCAAAATTATATGGGCACTTTGGAAAACAGATGGGAAGTTCCTCAAAAAATTTAGCAATATTACCACACAACTCAGCCACTCTATGCATGTATATGTATTCCTACATATACACCCAAGAAAATTAAAAACATTAAGTCCATCCAAAATCTTGTTTCGGTAATCAGGAATGAAGTACTGGCATAACCTACAATATGGACGAAGCTTAAAATTTAACTAAGAGAAAGCTAAGCACAAAAGCTTCAGAGTACATGATGTCATTTAATATAGGTCCACACTAGGCAGATCCACAGAAACATAAAGTACATACTGGTTGCCAGGAAGGAAAGAACAGATGGGTATGTTTGGGGAGAGGGGGGAAGGAATGAAATGTTTTGGAATTAGCTACTAATGATGGTTTCATAACTATGACTATTCTAAACTCCTCTGGATTGTCTTAAATAATACAATTATGAACTCAAGGATGAATTTTATGCCATGTGAATTATGTATCAAAGCTGTTATTTTTAAAAATATAGAAAACATTAGCATTGTTCAAAGAAAGTAAATCTAGTATATTTTAACCACTTAGATCTCCAATATACTATGCAGAAGCACAGCAACACAAAGTAGCAGTAAATCGACGTGACAAATTATGTATCCCTAAAAACTGTATAAAGAGCATTTAACGATGGGGATGGAGGGACTGCTTGGTGATTAGGAGCGTGTACTGCTCTTGGAAAGGTCCTGAGTTCAGTTCCCAGCACCCACATCGGACAGATAACAACTGTCTGTGACTCCAGCTCTAGGGGGATCTCACACTTCTGGCCTCCGTGGGCACCTTTCCTCCGTGTGCACCTGTACACAGACATACACACACACACACACACACACACACACACACACACACACACACACTTAAAATAATTAAAAAATAAAATAAATCTTTAAAATAGAACATTTAATGACAGTAGGGCTGAAGAGCAGTACCCAGATAATGTCAGGAGGGCACAGCAATCTACATGTAATGTAAGAGACAGGGGATTCCCAAAGCAAACTAGCAAGCTAGATTAGCCAAATCAGCACGTTCTAAGTTCAAGTATGAGACCCTGATTCAATATGATTCAAGATGGAAAGTGATTGAGGAAGACACCCAACATCAACCTCAGGCCTCCACATGCACATGCTCACAAGCAAACACACATACATACAAACACACACAACATACACATGCTCCCCAAAAAAGTTTAATGTTGGGTCTAGAGAGATGGCTCAGTGGCTAAGAGCACTGGTTGCTCATGCAGAGAACCTGGGTTTGATTCCCAGCACCTACATGATGGCTATCAACTGTCCATAACTCCAGTTCCAGGAGATCCAAGGCCCTCTTCTGACCTCTGATGGCACTGCACAACAGGGGTGTACTTACATACATGCAGGCATACACTCATACGCATAAAATAAAAATAATAAATAAAATATTTTTTTAGTTCAATGTAAAAAGCAGAACATAAAACTGCATGAGTTAGCCGGGAATGGTAGCACACGCTTTTAATCCCAGCACTCTTGAGGCAGTGGCAGGTGGATCTCTGTGAGTTCAAGGCCAGCCTGATCTACATAGTGAGTTCAAACTGTATGTGCTAAGCCAGGCCTGGTGACGAATGCCTTTAATCCCAGCACTTGGGAGGCAGAAGCAGGCAGATCTTTGTGAGTTTGAACCCAGCCTGGTCTACATAGTTTTACAGGCCAATTGGGGCTACAGGGAGATCCTGTCTCAAAGAGACAAAAAACAAAACAAAACAAAAAAACCAAACAGAACTGCATGTCTGTCCTCAATGATGTTAATATACACGTATTATTAACAAAGAACTTTGCCACTAATCCCAGAACTCTTTAAGGCATATACTGTCTTGAGATTCAACACAGTAGTGGTTCAGAATATAGCCTCAAATCAGACTGTATGGATTGATACTTGAGCTTTGTCAGTTACCCTAAAATTAAATATATAAGGTGCTTAGAACCCCTTCCTTTCACAAACTAAGTTCTTAGTTTCACAAACTAAGTGTTGATGATGATGTCAGAGATAACAATTATTAATTCCTTTCCCAAGTGAGATAAGGCTTAGAAAATGCAATCACATTGCTCAAAGTGACACAATAGTAATGAAGACAGTAGGCAACTAACACTCAACACAGTGTAACTAATGATAAGGAACATGCTAGGAAACTGCTAAAATTGGATTAGCTCCGCTTCATTCTCTATTTTCCAAACTTTCTATAATGAATGCACACAAATGTTAAAAACAGAGGGAAATTTTTATTTCAACTTATATTTAAAATATTTTATTTATTAGTAAGTTAAAATTCCACCAGTCTCAATCCTGAAAACTGTCATAAATCTGAAGGCTTATGAGTAGCCAACAACGGGGTCCATGTACCAGTTTTCTTTCCTAGATGAAGTCCTCAAAATAGCAGTATCAGAAACTTGGGAAATAAGTAGTAATTTTAATCATAACTGAGACTAGAGATATCCTGATAACAGTAAATAAAGTACCATAGCCCAAAGAATTGAGACCCATATAGGGAAAACTGGAGCACTGCTTCCTAATTGCTAAAATTACTGGTCCGCCTTACTCCTCAGGCCCTTTCTCACTGTGACTCACTCCTAGAAGGTCTCTTCCCATGCCTTCCACGGCATTCTTGCTTCTGATTTTTCACTTGTTCCTTTCTTTTTTTCTTCACAGGCTCTTGACCTCTTCTCACATAAAACTTAATCAAAAACCTTCATCCAGCTCGATTCCAGTTCTCTATCTTTACATCAGACACATTCTCCCTTCACTCAAAATTGTCTGGGGATGCTACTACATACCATGCACTGGCTGGCCGATGAAGTAGAATTGCAAAGTAACGCAGCAGCTTTCACAGAGCTTCCTTTCTAGACCCCCAAAGAGTTTACGACCTCCTTCAGTGACCTTACCTAAACCTTGGAGCAAAGCTGTAAATACACTGGGCACAGAAACACACTGTGAAACAATCCCTAAATGTGTCACAACTTTGCATAAAACATCAAACGGTCTCTTCTGCGTAGTCACTGAGTCTTCCAAATATCTCAAAGAGAGCATACCAAAGTGCAGCTCAGCATGTGAACCCATCCTCTGGTTCTAGATAAAGAATTGGTTGATTCTGCAAATGTCCACTGAATTGAACTTATGGACCTACCATCCTTCTTGCTCCAGTCTAAAACCTGAGCACTGTCTACAGTTCCGTTCCTTATGGTCTCTTTGTCAATTACATAACACAATCTAATAACTCTCTCCCCAAACTATTTCTCCTATCTGTCCACTCTTCACCTCTACCAGAAACAGTTTTCTGCAGGCTGTCATTTCCCCTGACAGGCTTCCTTTTCACACATTCATTCACTCACTTCATTACTCAACAAATAAAACACCAAACAAAGCCAAGCATGGAGGCATACGCCTTTAATTCCAGCATTCTAGGAGGCAGAGGCAGGTGGATCTCTGTGAAATTGAGGCCAGTCTGGTCTATACAGTGACTTCCAGGCCAATTGGAGCTACAGGGAACCCTGTCTTAAAGAAACAAAACACCACCAAAAAAAAACATATAAAACAATAAATAAATGAAAAAAACATAAAAGGAGACTGACCTATGCCCTCATGGAGTTTGGGTTTCTCAAAGACCATAACTAAACAACTTGTTAGAACAAAAAAGGCAAGTGTGGGAGTAAATTCTGAACCTGTGGAAATGCCCAATCTACCACACACATGAAGAAAAGCTGCCTCCTCTCTCATTCCCTCCACAATGTTAAAGCTGAAAATTAAAGCATGAATGAGGGAGGGGAGGGGCAAGAATATTCCAGGCAGAAGACAGGGCATGAACAGATTTTGAGTTGTTTCACTAGCAACGACTTGAAAGGGTGACAGGTTAGCTAAGAGGCTGGGGGTGGGAAGCAGAGGACAGAGGGTGGCCTTGTGGGCCACAGCAATATAACAGTACACTGTGAACGATTCCAATACTTTAAGGAGATAGTTATAGTGGAATTCTAGCAAATCTATTGACTAGTACAGAAACTAACCAAAGGGAAACAAGAACTCTGCCGCTGCCATCAATCTTACCCAGCTACAGGGATGCAGATCCCAATTCTTTACTTCCTTCCTCAGAAGATCCTAGTAGAACCCCAGTGAACAAGAATCCAACTTCATTCTCCCATGTGGCCCGACTGACTTCTCTTTCCAGTTTTCCCTTCCATCTCTCACACATCCTAAGACCTCTCTTCGGCCTTCACATACAGAGCCAAGCACTGTTTGGAATAGCTTCAGACTTTGACTCCCTTCTCTACCGGGTTTACTCTCACGCCTCTCCAAAGCCCACTTCTTATTATAAACCCCTGCCTAGGGCTGGAGAGATGGCTCAGGGGTAAAGGATACTGGCTGCTCTTGCAGAGGACCTGGGTTCGGTTCCTAACACCAACATAGCGGCTCACACCCGCCTGGAACCCCAGTTCCAGGGACTCCCACGCCCTCTGGACTCCACGGACATATGCATCTATGTGGTGCTCCTAAACTGACACAGGCACAACATGCATACACATAAAAACCTTAAAGGAAAGAGAAAACTTCCTACAGCGTTCTTAAACGACGTTCCCTCTCACAACGCTCTTATCTCAGCCTCCTGCTGCACAATGAAGCCTTTGAAAACAACAGCTTTCGAATTTCTTGCCCCTGCAAAACTTCCAGAGTGCCCTGCGCATGCGCACACTGCCGAGGACGCCCAGAACCGCTGGCTCAGGCTCAGCACAGCGAGCCGCCCAGGATGCCCCGTGGCCGCAGCCCCGAGGCGCAGGCACCGCCTGCTTTTGCCCGCTTCGGACCTCCGTCGGGTCACACAACCTGCCTTGCCGCCGGTCGACTGCCGCCTCCACCCCGACTGAAACTTCAGCCTCCAGAACCGCGCAGCCCGCCACAGGGTAGCGCAGAACGCGACTTCCGGGCTGTTGCTCGGGTTACCAGAGCCCCGCCCCACGCCAGTACGTACATCCGGTGAGCGTGTCTCTGGTATCTAGGGCTGTGATTTCTCTTGCTTTCCAGATGTGAGCGTTCTGCAGTTGTTGAGTGCTCTGCAGAGCAATGTACAACCCAGGGCCTCGTTTCTCTGCACACCAGACGTCACATTATTTGCTTTCATTTTAGTTGCTTTAAAATATCTCTTACTGGGTTGGAGAAATGGCTCAGTAGTTAAGAGCACTGACTGCTCTTGCAGAGGACCTTGGTTGGGTTCCGCATCCACATGGCGGCTCCAGTTCCAGGGATTCCAACGCCCTCTTTTCATCGTGGGCATTACATGGCACAGGTGCACTTACACACATGCAGGCAATACACTCATGTACATAAAAATAATTTTAAGTTTAAAAATTATATATTACATATATATGTATATAGCTTCCTGTACCAGACACAAGGTTAGGTTCAATAAGAACTAAAAACAGCAGTGCAGTAGCAGAAAGCTAGCAATGACAGAAGTCTAAGATTAAAATGGTGACAAATGCTGCGAAGGAAGCACACCAGCTAGATACTAAACGTTTAGGGCTATTTTAATGTCTCAGGGAAGCTGAGGTGCCAGGAGGAGCAGGTTACCAGAGAAGAAAGAGCATTACTGCAGAGGGAGTTTCATGTGCAAAGATGTGTGTCAGATGCAAGGGATGGGAAGGAGGCTGATATGTCTAGAGTTGAGAGAACAGTGGGTGGTTGGTGGAAGGGGAGGGGGTGCCTCATGGACAGGAGCCAGGATGGTCATAACTGGGCAGATCATGTTAACTTTACAAAGTACTGTTTACTCTGATAGCTCAACTTCCTTTTTTTTTTAGACAGGGTCTCCTTATAGTCCCAGCAGGACTGGAGTTCACTATGTAAACTAGGCTGGCTTCTGTCTCAACAAAGAACTGCCTGCCTCTGTTTCCCAAGTGCTGGGATTAATGGTTTGTGCCACTATGCTGGGCTCAACTTCTTTTTTAGCCACTGACTTTCTGTTGTTAAGAAACAGCTATAGAGCTGGCATGGTAGCACACGCCTTTGATCCCAGCATTTGAGAGGTAGAGCCAGGTGGATCTCTGTGAGTTCAAGGCCAGCCTGGTCTACATAGTGAATTCCAGGACAGCTAGCTGTGGCAGAGAGAGAGAGAGAGAGAGAGAGAGAGAGAGAGAGAGAGAGAGAGAGAGAGAGAGAGAGAGAGAGAGAGAGAGAGAGAGAGAGAGAGAGAGAAAGCGAGAGAGAAAGCGAGAGAAAGCGAGAGAAAGCAAGGAAGGAAGGAAGGAAGGAAGGAAGGAAGGAAGGGGAAGGAAGGAAGGAAGGAAGGAAGGAAGGAAGGAAGGAAAGAAAGGAGAAAGAGCTGTACATGAACCAACAAATACATATTCAGTGTCCTCTACAAGCAAATAACTCCCTTCTAAGCATTTCCACTCTAATATGATGTAGATGTATGTGACGGCCAATATATTCAACCCCTTGCTTACATCCTCAACTCTGCCCTTCTCTGAGCCGCTGGATTCACTTGGTACATGCACTGTTGCACCTGAACATGGAAGATAACCAGCACCCATGCTCACTTTAAATTTATGCTCACTCATTTTAGGTGGGCCCTTACAGTTTCTTGAACATCTTACTACAGATCTCTGTGCCATTAATTCTCTCACTCTCCTAGATGACAGTGTTATACTTTCTTATTGATCTCTTCCTCTAACCTCATGCTGGCCTTTAGCTAAGCTTCCTACTTCACTGATGACATTGAATTAGTCATAAGACAACTTCTCTAAGCTTCCACAACGACTTCTGTTCTCCTGTCAGCATGAGCACATACACACAAAAATGAAGAAAAATACAAGGTACATACTCAAATTGATCAAAACCTGTGATAAAGGAAAATCTAAAAATAGACATGTACACAAGAACAAAAGCAAAGACTATAATTTTTCATGAGAAACCAAACAAGACAGTATAATAATAACATAAATGTCATTCCATTTACTTCACCCATCATTTTATTGTTTTCATATATTATACATATGTAGTCATTGTGTTTTGTTTGATTTTATACATATTAAAGAAAAATAATTTTTCTTAAAGAATTAACAAACTGGTTCTGAAATTCTTCTAAAAAATGCAAAAGACCTAGAATAACTAAAACAACCCTAAAAAGAACAAAATGTAATTGCTAAAACTTCCTGACTTAAGACTTATTTTAAAGATTAATCCTAATATCATGTATTTGTATAAAGTCAGACAAATGTAATAATGAAATAAGATAGAGTTCAGAATAAACTTACATACATGTGGGCAATTAATTTTTTACAAAGATGATACAGTGGAGAAAGGATAGCTTTTAAAATGACTCCTACAGGAATAATTACATATCCATATGAAAAATAATGGAGCTAAGCACTATGCCACTTTCAAGGAATTAATTGAAAAATTATCATAAGGCTGAGGAGATAGCATAGTGGTAAAGTGCTGCTGCCAAAGAATGAGGACCCAAGATCTATCCCCAGCACCCATGTAAAAAGCCAAGCATGGTGGTATGCACTTGTAATCTGTGCAAGTTAATTTTAAATGTCAACTTGCCACAACCTAGAATCATCTGAAAAGAAAGCCTCAACTGAGGCATTTCCTGGATCAGATTGACCTGTGGGCAGGTCTCTGAAGAACTGTCTTGCTTGTTAATGGATGTAGGAGAACCCAGCCCACTATGGGTAGCACCACAGGCAGGTGGTCTGGGAGTGTATTAGCTAGCTGAGTATAAGCCAGCCTGCAAGCCAGCTAGCAAGCAGCATCCACTATGGTTCTTCCTCTACTTCTTGGCTATGAAGTGAGTTCCTTGGTCGAAGGCAAGCAAGTCTGCCTCCAAATTCCTTCCTGCCTTGACCTACACTCAATGATAGACTGTGATCTGGAATTTTAAAGGAAACAAATCCTTCTCTGTTGCAAGTCTGCCTTCAAATTCCTTCCTGCCTTAATTTCACTCAATGATAGACTGTGATCTGGAATTGTAAAGGAAACAAACCCTTCTGCTCTTTTGCTTTTGATCAGGGTGTTTTATCTCAGCAATAGCAAAGGAAACTAGAGTATAATTCTGGTGCTGAGAAGGAAAGACAAAAGGATCCCTGGAGCTCATTGGATAGCCAGTCAATCTCTTGGTGAGAGATCCTATCTCAAAAAATAAGCTGGAGGGGCTAGAGAGATGACTCAGTGGGTAAGAACACTTGCAGCAGAGGTCCACTTTCCAGAGGACCTGGGATCGATTGGCAGCTAACAACCGTCCATAACTCCAGTTCCAGGGGATCTGATGACCTCGTCTGGCCTTACAGGGTGTTGCATGCATGTGGTACACTTACATACATGCAGGGAAAACACTCATACACATACAATAAAAATAATTTTAAAAAATTGTTTTAGTAATCTAAATAATGCTCTAGAAAGATGTCTGAAATAAACGTCTGCCCTCTGTATATACATGCACACATGTACATGCACGCACACCTGTACGAGCACCCACACACACACTGAGGATTAGAAAACTAAATGTAAATTGAAACCATAAAGTCAGCAAATATCCAAGAAAATCTGCAGATTAGGAAAATATTTCTCAGATATGATAACAAAAGCACAATCCATAAAATAATAACTCAATAAATTGGATTTCATCAAAATTTAAAACTTCTTTCCTATCTGTTAAGAAATCAAAAAGCCCACACACTAAGCTTTAGAAACTCTTTCTAAAGTATGTATCAGTTAAGGACTTATATTTGAAAACATATAAATAACTCTCAAAAACCAAACAATAAGAAAGTGGGCCAGGTGCCTGGAGCCTACTATATGCTGTAGTCATTCCAATCCTGAGTCTTTACCAAAGATGAAAGAAAACACACATTTTCACAAAGACGTGTGCGTGTATGCCTGCAGCAGCTTTGTCATAACCAAATGTTGTCTCAGCTGAAAACTCATCAACAAATGCATAGAAAAACACTTTGTTGTATATCCACACAAGGAAACACTGTTCAGTAACAAATATTAGGAAACTGTTGTTATCTCTCATAATAATTATGCTGAAAGAAGTCAAATAAAAAAATAATATATCCTCTGTGAGCCATTTCTACAAACCTTGAGAAAATGAAAACTGATGTAGAGTGACAGAGATGAGTGATTGCTCGAGAAAATGGATGATTAGAGACAAAAAGAGACTGATGTAAAGGAAGAAGGAAGCTTTGAAGAAGGACAGACACCATCTTAACTTCAGAGATGTGAGTATATACAGGTGACTGTGAAAGTGTTAAGTTATATGCCTTAAATATGTGAAATTTGATACACATCAATCATACTTCAAGAAAGCTACTTATTTGACTTTCTTTGGCTACTCCAAATATGATCTAAATTTGCTCTCAAAACCATAAGGTATCATGTTCATTAAATCCATCTTCAGCTTCCCCATGCCAACATCTAATCAGAGAATTCTTAAAGCTTTCCCTTTTTTCACTATAAACCTTTTTCACTCTCTAGTTTTTCCTTCTTCACTTTTTAAAAATTTTGTTACTGTTCTGGGAATCAAACTTAGTGCTTCACTTATGCCGAAAAAGTGCTGACCACTTAGTTACAGCTCTTGCTTCTTACCTTTCTTTGAGTCTGTGCCAAATGCAAGTGATGGTGGCTGTATCTCTTGCTGCACCAATCTCTGTATAAATGAGCTCCCTTGTTCTCACTTGAGAGGTCTTCAATTGTTTCCACAGCTCTGGGTGTGCATAATTTTGCTCTATTATTAATCTTATATTAAAAAGACCATCTTGAGTATCACTATAAGAATAATATACATTTGCATGGATTTCTGATTTTTGAAATGTAAAGATATATAAATTAAGATACAAAATGATATGAATCTCTAGTTGATTCTGAGAAGGGAAAAAAAATAGGTAAGCTAACAGTTATGACCAAATCTTGACCATTCATAGTTCATTGCTACAGAAGATGTTGGTCAAATTCTGTTGTCATATATGGTCTAGCTGTTGTCCTTTTGAACATTCAGTCTCTGACCCCCTTTTGCTTCATTCTCTTGCTTGCAAGAGTTTGACTAAATCAGGGAAGGCTAGAGAAACACATTTTTACCACTTGAGGATTCTCATTGTCTTGTCCATTATTAACTATGTCACAAGTCTTAACCTTTCTGTTGTGCTCTCATCATGATCACCTGATGAAAGACAGCAGCTGCAAGAAGCACTTAAGACTTTAGATTTCATTCAATCATTACTACTCTGATATTAATTATCAACGTATTGTCCCTGTAAGGCCCTCCAGAACCCAAATCAAGTCTCACAGGCCACAAGGATCATTGTAGAGAAGCAGTTGACTTTTTCCTATTCTAACATGCCAGTTTCACTGATCTAAGTACAGCAAGAAATAGAAATGACACAGAAACAACCATGACTAGCAAACAAAACTCAAAAAAACAATCAATGTTTCATTACTGCCTCTGCGAGGGAATTCAAACTGATCTGTGTTGACTCTAGGAATGAAGTAGACTCATTAACTTTTGCCGGAGTTAGTAAGTTTCTTACAGTATTTTCTATTTCTATAATTCCCACCATTAATAAAACTACTTTGATTATTCATAAAAATAATGAGTTGGTCATTCTTCTAGGTAGGGTACTTTAATAGCCAAGGATGGCCTCCTTTTGGAGCTTGTGTTTGAATCAGAATTCCATACTTGGTGATTTGTAGAACTGAAGTCACTGTGTGTGCCAACAAGCCTTATATATCGGTGTTATGCAAAAAGGATCATGTATTCTTCCTCCACAGAGTTATAGGACCCTGAAAGGGCACATGAGCATCCAAGAAAAAGATGTTGGAGAGAGAATTCAATATTTAGGAGCACTTGCTCCACAACATGAGCATAGGAGTCCCATATTCTCACACCCATGTAAACTAGTTTGGTATCATCCCACAAACACTTGCAACTCCAGCTCCAAAGGATCTGATACTGTCTTCTGGCCTTCCCCTGCACATGCACCCAGGCACACACAAATCTTTTAAAACAAAAAATATACGCATGACCTGAAGTCAAACCAAGGTTTTACACTAGGTGGGTTACATATTTGTGCTCATGTGTTAAGGTGTTTTATCCCTTATTGACACTCCTGAGAGGTAATTAGATCCTGACCATTCTAACTTAATCAATAGATTAATCTGATGGATTCATAGCATGACATTATTGAAATGTAGGGCCTAGTTAGGGGAAGCAAGTCCCTAGGGAAATACCCTGGAAAGATATGTCATGTCCCCTGCCTCTTCTCTTTGCTTCTTGGCTCTGAGGTGAGCATCTGCATGGCCTCAATACCCTGCCTCACCTCAGGCCAGAAACAGTGGCTCCCTCGACATGGACTGAAGCCTCTGAAACTATAAGCTGGAGTAAATATTTTCTCCTTTCAAATTATTTCTCTCGGGTATTTGTCACAGTAATGAAAGTCTGGCTAACGTAACAAATCAGTGCTGGAGAAGTGGGGTCACTGCTATGATTTTGTGTAAGAAGATGATTCTGAAAACTTTGGAAATGGTTTGTGGGAGGGATTTGGAAGCTTGGAGATGCAAGCTAGAGGAGCCCTGAGATGTTAGGTGGCATGTTTAATGGGTGATGCTGGTGGGAGTTCAGAAGGCCAGATTCCAATGTGGACAGAAAAGATTGTACTCTATGAGGTTGCAGGTGGCAACAATGACTCTATCAGGAATTTGGCTAAAAGTCATGCATGATAAATTCTGACAAAGAACTTTTTTACATTTTGTCCTTGTCCTGAGATTTTATGGAAGGCTGAACTTAAGAATAATGATATAATGTATCTTGTGGAAAAGATTTTAAGACTGTCACTTGGGTATTGATGACTGTCTTTAGCCAAGTTTATAGTAAGACCTGGTTGGGATGGGGGGAGGGGAACAGAGCCAAAGGGTTTGAAACACTTAATTTGTGCAGAGATAAGTGTGTAAAGTTGTGACCGAGGAAAATATGGTTGGTGAAGAGGTTAACACAATTAAAAAGAAACCAACAACTGTGCATTGGAACAATAGGGACACTGCCTTGAGGCATCTCAGAAATTGGACAGACCTCACTCATCCTAAACCTCAAACTTACAAGAGTGTAAGCCATTTGAAAGATTTGTCCCTGAAAGAGAGCACCATTGGAGACCTGGCTCACACAGGACCACCCAGGGAAGTGTTTTCCTATATTAAGTCATCCACTTACTCAGAGGTCACTGCAGTCATGGTCCAGGGAGTCCCAGCAACTGCTTGAGATGGCAGCAGACCTTGTCACATGTGATGCTGGTTGGGCTGCTTCACAAAATGTAAGAGTTAGGGGATCAGGGAGGCTTCCACTCAGATTTCAAAGGAAGGCTTGGGAAGCCAAGCAATGTTTAGCCAAGTTGGAATCACTTCAGAGAACCCCTGGGCAGATGATAGATGAAGCTGTAGAAGTAAAACCAAAGCCTCAGAGGAGACCAAAAGGAAGGAATGGGGAACATATGCTACTGAAATCTTCAGACAGTGGATGGAGCCAACCCAACAGAGAAACCAGAGGCGCTACAGCTCACAAGTCCATAGGAAAAGGGCTACCCAAGCCCTTCAGAGCTCACATAACTCTACTACATGTTACAGATAACAGACATGATTTGATGCCTGTCTGGGGTTGTGCCTTGACTGGTCCCACCTTTCTGTGTGGTGGTTTGAATGAAAATGTTCCCCATAGGCCTCAAGGATTTGGACATTTCGTCCCCAGTTGGTGGTGCTGTTTTGGAAAGTCTTAGAAGGTGTGGCTATCCTGGAGGAAGCCCACTAGGGGTAGGCTTAGAGAGTTCTTAAGCCTTGCCCTATCTCGAGTTGCTCGCTTGCTTCCTGTGCCTGCTTGAAGATGTGAAAGCTTAGCTTCCACTGCTCCTGCTCCAGCCACCGCTACCATCATGCCTCCCTGCCACGATGGACTCTTGCCCTTGGAACCATAAGCTCAAATAAATTCTTCTTTCTCTAAGTTGCTTTGGTCAGTGTTTCTATCACAGCAACAGAAAAGGGACTAATACATCCTTATTTCTCCTTTTTGGAATAGGAATCGTTATTCTATATCATTGTATATTGGAAGTATGTAATTTTTATTTTTCAGGAGCTCATCATAGTGAGGAGTTTGCCTCGAGTCTCAGAGGAGACTTTCGATTTCAACTGTTGAAAAACATTGGAACTGTTAAGAATATGGAGACTCTTGGAGATGGAATACATACATTTTGTATTAGGAAATGGACATGAGCCTTTTGAGAGACAAGGGTGATGTGTTATTGTTTGGTTATGAAGTGTTCCCTCCAAAGGTTCAGGTATTAAAGGTGTGGTCCCCATCATGTGGCCCTGTTGAAGACATGTTTGGATCCTTAGAACTCGACATATTCAATAGACTAATCCCTCGATGTATTTAAAGATATGGTGGAGGTGAGGCCAGGGTGGAGGAAGTACATCACTGGTGACATGCTCTGGAAAGACATACCACATCTGTGCTTCTTCATCTCTTTGCTTCCTGCCTGCCATAGAGAAGCACTCGGCCACAAAAGAGGAATAAGGACATGGGAAAGAAAGGTATATCTAAAGATCTCAGGCCCAGACACATAGAGTCAGTCAGCCTTGGACTGAAACCTCTTAGAAAGTAACCCAAGTAAATCTTTTGTCCTTTAAATTGTTTCTCTCAGCTATTTTCAGGGCAATAAAATGTCTGACAGACATAGATCTCTATTAGGCTTCTCAGGTAGCAAATATTTGGCCTATCAAACTTTAAATCTTCTTGAATTAAAATTTAGAATTACCTGAGATCTCATGACAGATTTTAAGTTGTTGTGGGGTTTTTTGTTTGTTTGTTTGTTTCTAGGAAAAGGGAAACTAGTAAAGTCACAAGTTAACGTGTTTTTTATTTGGCCATTAAATATAACAGACTTTGGCTTTAAGTCCCTGTAATCTCATTTGATGAAACTGGAATAATCCAGAGCTTGTTATCCTGGAGGTTCAGTAATAGATGGTGTAGATAGTGACTACTGTTTTGAATACATTAATAATTGTGCTATAATTAATATACTTAACTTGACAACTGTAAGAAGAAGAAGGAAAAAAAGGGGGCAATTAAAGACAATATCCAGTGGTCTAGAATAAATGGTAAGAATGAGCATCAATAAACTGGCAAAAAACAAAACAGAAATTAGGAGTCTTGTTCCAATTAATTTCATAAATATGAGCTGTCCATCAAGATACCTCCTTGTGGGGCTGAAGAGATGACTCAATGCTTAAGAGCACTTACTGCTTTTGCAGAGGACCTGGGTTTTGTTCTCAGCATCCACATGGTAGCTAAAACCTGTCCTTAACTCCAGTTCCAGGGAATCTAATGCCCTCTTCTGGCCTCTGCCAGTACCAAGCGTGCACATAGTGCACTTGCATACATGCAGACAAAACATTCACACAAATAAAATAAAAATAAATCTTTTTGAGAATACCTCCTGTGGGCCTGTGAGATGGCTCAGCAGGTAAACGCATTCATTGCCAAGTCTGACAACCTGAGTTTGATCTCCAGGACCCACATGGTGGAAGCAGAGCCAATTCCTGCAGGTTGTCCTCTGACTTCCACATCTGCACTATGGACACATGTACCTACACACATAAACACACAGTACATACATACATACATTAATTTCAAAGGTTTTTAAAAGATGCCTCCTTGTCCTAAGGATCTTGAGTCAAATGCCTACTTTCTTCAGTAGGTTGCTGATGGAGAATTTTTGTGAAGTTCTCTCTGAGTAACTCTCCAATAGTGTGAACTTTTGGAAATTTCCTTCAATGTCTGAGATAGGTTAGATGTAAATGTCCCCAAAAGACCCTTGTGTTAAATGATTGGTCATCAGGGTGGTGCTACTGGGCAGTGGTAAAACTTTTAAGACATGAACTAATAGGAAGTTCTTAGGTCACTGAGGGCATGCTCCTGATTGTGGATCCTTGACCCTTTTTTTTTTTTTTTCCCCTTTTCGGTTTCTGGTTATGATGTGGGTAGTTTGCTTTACCTCATATTCCCCACTATTAACCATCCACTGTGCCCACCAAAAAACCCAAAGCAATGAATGTGCCAGATTTTGAACTGGAGCTTCCAAAACTATGATCCAAAATAAACTCATGTTATTTTTGGTATTTTATTAAAGAAATGCAAAGCTGGGCTGGAGAGATGGCTCAGTGGTTAAGAGCACTGACTGCTCTTGCAGAGGACCCAGGTTCGATTCCCAGCACCCACATGGTGGCTATGAACCATCCTTAACTCCAGTTCCAGGGGAATCCAAAGCCCTCTTCTGACCTCCATGGCATTGCATGACACGGGTGCACTCACATACATGCAGGCAATATACTCATGCACATAAAATCTTATTTAAAGGAATATTGACAACTGATTGTTGCTAGATGAGGAACAGCTGATCTTCCTAAAACAAAGACCCCTAGATAGGCTGACTAGATTCACCAGATGGACAAGTAGTGGGGAACGGCTGGGGGCACTGACAACACAGTGGACAGTAGCACGGATATCAGAGTATAAGGGCTCTAGTTGGGGGAGGGAGGCTATGGGAGGCTGCCATCAGGGAAGTGGGTGCATAGTTGAATAAGATGGTTTAAGATGGTTTGGGGTGTTCTGTGTGATAGACACACAAAAAAAAATCAACAAATTTTTAAAAATTTATTATGTTTGAGGAAGAAGCATAAAAATTTGTGTCATGTTAATTAGAAGAGGTGATAAACATTACCATTGAAATCTACCAGATGACTTTATAGACATGCACAGGTGCCAAGGATCTGAGTGCAACCGATTATGACTAGTAATAATCAGATACATACAGATCAGAGATACATGTGCCAACATCTTACTGTTAGTAGCAAAAACAATGAGTCTTTCTGTAAGAAGCAGTATATTTTTAAATGAAATGGAGATCTTTTTTAAAGGTTAAAAACTCATTCAATTTTATGTCTTACAGGGCTTATACTCAGTTCAATATTGTATAACTGTACTAATTCAACAGGGAACCTAAAAATTTTATAGCCACTTTGAAAGAGCTGTATCTTTGCTCTGGAAACTGTTATTGAGCATATTAAAGCTGTAATGATAAGCTTCTTCTAAAAAATTCTTTTAAAAATATTAAAATAACATAGGAAACAGCATATCTTAAAAGGAAATGGAGATCTTCTTTAAAGAGTAAAAACTCGTTCAATTTTATATCTTATAGGGTTTATACTGAGTTCAATACTGTATAATTATATTAATTCAACTGTGAACCTAAAAATTTACAGCCACTTTTGAAATAGATGTATCCTTGCTCTGGACTATGTTATTGAATATGTTAAAGCTGTAATGAAATGCTTCTTCTAATC